GGCCTGTCTGTGGCTCCCAGCACCCACATGGCAGCTCACAATAGTCTGTAACTTCAGTTCCTGGGGATCTGATGGGCTCCTTTGTGCACATCACACAAGCGCGCGCGCGCACACACACACACAATTTTGAGAGAGATTTGGGGTGTGGATTTTTACTCTAGTGGCTGTCTGTAATCTCTTCATGTCTAACCCCTGGTAAGAATACCTCACGCTGTAAAGGACCTAAGGGTGCTGGGTGGTATTTGGACTTTGCAAGTATCAGAATCTCTTGGCCCAAATGCAAAGCACAATTGCTGGCTGACTTCCAAGATTTTCTAATTGGGTACAGTCGGGTGGGCCCAGGATTGTACTTCTGAGTTACCAGGTTATACTGTGGTTGCTACTCTTAGGAAAGACACTGAGTTGGGAGGAGAGACTGGAGCATGCCAGTTCCGTGTTTGCTTTTATTCCCTGGCTGACATGTCACCACTGTGTCTGTCTGTCGCCCCTGTGTCCATCTGTCGCCCCTGTGTCTGTCTGTCACCCCTGTGTCCGGCTGTTGCCCCTGTGTCCGGCTGTCACCCGGCTTTCGCCCGGCTGTCACCCCTGTGTCCGGCTGTTGCCCCTGTGTCCAGCTGTCGCCCCTGTGTCTGGCTGTCACCCCTGTGTCCATCTGTCACCACTGTGTCCAGCTGTCGCCCCTGTGTCCGGCTGTCACCACTGTGTCCGTCTGTTGCCCCTGTGTCCAGCTGTCACCCCTGTGTCCGGCTGTCACCCCTGTGTCCGGCTGTTGCCCCTGTGTCCAGCTGTCGCCCCTGTGTCCGGCTGTCACCCCTGTGTCCATCTGTCACCACTGTGTCCAGCTGTCGCCCCTGTGTCCGGCTGTCACCACTGTGTCCGTCTGTTGCCCCTGTGTCCAGCTGTCACCCCTGTGTCCGCTGTCACCACTGTGTCCGGCTGTCACCCCTGTGTCCAGCTGTCGCCCCTGTGTCCATCTGTCACCACTATGTCCAGCTGTCATCTCTGTGTCCCTCTGTCACCCCTGTGTCCATCTGTCACCACTGTGTCCAGCTGTCGCCCCTGTGTCCGGCTGTCACCACTATGTCCAGCTGTCATCTCTGTGTCCCTCTGTCACCCCTGTGCTCGTCTGTCACCCCTGTGTCCCTCTGTCATCTCTGTGTCCCTCTGTCACCCTTGTGTCCGATTGTCACCCCTGTGCTCGTCTGTCCACAGCATTGGAGGACCAGGAGCCAGAGAAGCAGTCTGTCCATCCCTGTGCACTGCTGCCCACAGTTCTGGGTCTGTGCTGGTGCCTTTGAGGCCCCACTTCAGACTCACTCTTTGCAATGGACGCCCCTGTTTTCTGGTGTAGGGACTACCACTCAGCTTCTCTTAGGATTGGCCTGCCCACCCCATTCCCCTTTGATGTTTCCCGTCAGCTCCCATTTCAGCCGGGTCCTCTGTCATTCATGTGGTCACAGCTTCCCTTCGTGCCCACTTCCACTTTATTTCCTGTCCCAAAGGCCTGAGACATTTCCCATCTCTGAGTGTTTCTCCACACTAGCTGATCCTCTCTTCAGTCTTCTCTCGCGTCTAACTTCTTCACAGAGCTCTGTTGTAACTGTGTTCATGTCATCATTTGGTTAGGCCCTGCTGCTCCCCAACTGTGAGCTGGGCCTGTCTTGGTACCCACCATAGTGCTACATTATTCAGAAGCCGATGTCATGTGGAAGATTCTCCACTTAACTCTGAACTGCCCCACAGGCTCATTCGTATCTTCAACAGTTGGTCCTGGGATAGTGGTGCTGTGGACACTTTAGGAAATACCTACATCTGCCTGGAGCAGTGGGTCATTAAAAGTGGGCCTTACCTGCTTCAGATTATAGCCTGTGTCTACAACTCATGGGTAGCAGTGTGAGTAGCTGCCGCTCCTGCTGCCATCATGATTGTGATGTTCTGAAATCCTCTGAAACTGTGAGCTGAAATAACCCTTTTGTTCTTTCAGTTGCCTGTCAGGCAGCTAATGTGGTGTTAGGCTTTTGTGTGTAAATAAAGGGAACACCAGGTGAAATCTCACCATCTGTCGGTGGACTCTCAGCTGGACTGATCTTGATACTTGGTTGGATGGAAAGATGAGAAAGGAAGAGGAGCTTGCATGTGCTCGTTGCTGCCTGCTTGCAGCTCCAGAAGCATTCTTCCAACAACATTCAGGCCACATGTCCCACCCAGCGGGACACGAACGGGAGCCCGGGCCCTGAAGGGGAGGAATGGACAGCAAGTCTGTATTCTGATCAAGCTGCCAACTTTATTTTTTCTCAGGAATATTATATAGCAAACAGGCAGCCGGGGAGGGTCGGATGCTATGCCATTGTTCTAACTGGAGTATCAAGTCTGGAGACAGCCCTAGCTGATAGGAAGAGATAAGGAAATACTGAGGTTCTGTAGATGTTTACTAACAGGGAATGCTAATTACTTCTGGGGCCTGGGGCCTGCAGGTCTGCAGGCCTACTTAGCTCACAGGGAGAGATAACAAGATACTGGGTTATTTCCTGGGCCCAGAACTTGCCCTAACAGAGGTAAATATCTTACTTAATTTGTAAACTAAAATGGCTTGACTATAAACAAATTCAGGTCTTTAATCCCAGCAGCCACATGTGCCTGTCCCTTCTTCATGAAAACCTCTTAGAACCCCTTCCTAGGTTCTCTTGTTTTTCCATTTGACCTTCAGTAATTTTGTGGTAAAATCTTTACATTTCTTTTACAAAGCTGGGATTTAAACCCAGGGACTTCTGCATGCTAGGCGTCTATCTGCTAGAAAGCTAAATACCAGCTCTTAGTCTTTACACTCTTAAATCTCAGTTTGCTGGCATGATCTTTTTCTTTTCTCGAGACAGGATCTCTCTAAGTAGACCAAGCTGACCTTGAACTCACAGAGATGTACCTGACTCTGCCTCCCAAGTTCTGGGATTAAAGGTGTGCGCCACTACATTTGATGAATAGTCTTTTTACTGCAAGTTCTTCCAAGGCCGTAGTTGGCCGTCTTTTACGTGGGTCTGCTCCTTATAAACTGACCTGGATTATAGACATCAGTACTGGGGTGATCAGAAACCTCTGACAAGGAATGAAAAGAGCGATTGTTGTCCTGTGTTGATTGCCGTTGGTAGCTGAGGATTAAACATAGATGCTAGTCAGCTCTCTCCCACAGGGAGCCCCAGGACTCTCTCCTTAGTGGGACAGATGCTTCAAATCTTCACCTCACTGTCTAAAGCTATCAAGGAGTTGAGTCTCTGAACAAATGAAGGCCACGCGTGAGAAATGTCACTACTTGTTCAGTCAGGGAGTCCCTCGGTCACCACTTGCAGTGTCTGTGATTCTGGATATATTTTGCAAATCTCCAAATTTTTTTTTAACATTAAGTTTTTCTGTATCCAAAAGTATCATATTCTTGAAGAAATGTTCTTTACTGTCTGGAGCAGCTAGGGAACTTCACCCTTCACTCACTGTGGTGGAGGTGACAGTCTTCGTACTGTCTTATCTCTGTGTTTTAAAATAATAGAATGTCTGCATGGGAGAATGTAGGGTATTTTGCTTTTCTTACATTTTTTTATTTCTTAAAAATTTGCAACATCTGACTTTTATAGTGAAAAACCTTTTCTAAATACTTTTGGAATAACTATAGTGGTAGACATTCATTATTTCCTTTATATCAGAGGTTAGCAAGCCTTTTACATCTAATGTCTCATAGTAAACGTGGTCGGCTTTGTAGGCCCCGTGACTCTGTCTTACTTGTAACCTGTGTCATCAAACTGGAAGAAGTCACAGACAGTATGTGCACAGGTGAGCACAGCGACTTCCCACTGAAACCGATGAACTTTGAATTGATGCTGGGGTTCTATATTTGCTTGTGCTAGGAAGTATTCTTTTTTTCTCAACCATTTAAAACAAAGTGGTTCTTAGTCCAGAGGTTCACAAAATGCTGGGAGTCATGTCCAACAGATTCTCAGACACCCTTCGTGACCTTGGAGTGTGATCTCTTAGTACCAGTCTCTTGGGTGACAATTACATTTTCTTTCTCCCAAAGAAAATATTAACAAAAAAATGCTTTTGGTAAATGAAACACTTTAGCCTTTTCAGCACTGCAAGTGATTTGCTGCCTTGTTTGGCTCCTGATGGTGGGAAATTCACCACTGGGAAGAGCGAATGGTCATGTTTAAAACAAAGGAAAAAGAATTCCCTTGGAATCACTGGCTTCTGATACCATTTGGTTAGCTGCTCTGTTCTCATGGTGAACATGGGGGACATTCCACCCTAGTTACTCTGGAGTTTTGGCACAGGTTTTCTGTCAGTGCCCAGCAGAGAGCCACAGCTGCAGGAGAGGTGCTGCCACTGAGGTTGTTAGACCAGCACCTCCGTATTTGTGTAGACTCACTGTTTGTCGCCTGTATTCACGGCATCTGTCTTTGTCAAGTTTAACAAGTAAGGGCCCCTCCCTCCACCCCTGGAATTGTTTCTTTGTATCTGCATAGTATAGAAATGGACCCCGAAAAATTGCCTTTTAGGGATTTGTGCTTGGTGGTTTGTATCCACAGATCTCATGCTCAGCAGGTCTGTGCGTATCTCAGAAAATGCACCACTAAGTCTCTGCAACTGATTCTTTGGTACATAAAAGTTAAAACCACCAATTTGGAGGGGTTCGAGCCAACTGAAGGGGTGGGCAGATGGCGTTCCTCAGAGGCTGCCATCCTGTTACTAAATCCCTGAGTGGAAAACAGCATGGACGTGAGTGAAGCCCCCTTTCCCTACAAACCTACTTACTAGAAAGGGTAGGTCAGCGAGGATGCGCCTGCCCCGTCTGTGGGTTTGTTTTCTTTGAAACCAGGAAGCTGTGCCCACATTTGCTCTCTGGTTCTATTGAGTTCAGCCTTGATGCCCCACGTAAATCAGATAGGGGAGAGATGAATCATTCTTCATTGTACTTCCAGAAGCCTGTCGGGACCATGCTATGTGAATGTCTTTTTTAGGGCGAAAACCTAGTTTGGAAGTTCTGTGGCTGAGCCAAGAGCCAGCAGTGCAGGCCCGGCGCCTGGACACGTTGCTAGCCTGCTTCAACCTCTCCTCCTCCAGAGAAGACCTGCAGGCAGTTGAGAGCCCATTGAGAGCACTGTGCTGCCTCCTAATCTACATCTTCGTCCAGGTAAACTCTGAGCTCACGGTTCTCGTATATAATAAATATATAGGTGCTACAGCTGCCACACGGTCTGGCCTCACCTTCCTGGAGCGCTGTGAGTCTTTCTGTGGGCCAATTCCCATGACCTCTTTCCACAGAGCACAAGTAATCCTTCAGGATCCTCATGAAGAGGTTAAGTCAGAAAGTTAGTGTGTCCGCAAGTCAGTGGTGGTGTGTGTTTATTCTCAGGATTGGCTGTCCTCTCAGAATACTGTGGTAGACCTAGAAGGATAGATAAATCATAAAATATTATGGTTTTATGTAGTTGAGCTTAAATTAACTTTTTAAAAATATTTATTTCATTTTATGTGTATGAGTGTCTGGTTCCACCCATTCCCTGTATGCATTTGTGCCATCTTCTATGCCTGGTGCCCATGGAGATCAGAAGAGGGCATTGCATTCCCCTGGACCTGGAGATATGGGTGGGTGTGAGCCACCATGTGAGTACTGGGAACGGAGTCCCGATCCTTTGCAAGAGCAACAAATGCAAATGCCCTTAACCACTGAGCCCAGTCTCCTAAATTAGCCCTTTTTGGTTGCAGCATTGGAGTAAAATTGCATATCATTCATTATATGAAAATTGAGTTGAAACTAGTTTGATTTACTCCAATCTATTTAACAAGACTTAAGTCTGATTTGAGGAAATCTTGGAAAAGCATTTATGATAGTTACTTTGGTTATTGCTACAATAAAATTCCTGGCCAAAGAGACTTAAGGCAGAGCTGTTTGGCTTCCAGTTTGAGGGAACAGTCTGTCCTGAGGGAGCTCACGGTGGCAGGGGCACAAGACAGTTGTTTGGGTTCCGCCCAGCAGGATAAGTGCTGGTGCCCAGCTTTCTCTTGTTGTTCAGCCTGGGATCTCCGCCCCCATTTGCTGTTCTTTCTAGTCAGTTAACCCAGACTGGAAACTCCCCCACAGGCATACCAGAGGCCTCTTTTCACAGGGAATTCTAAACCCCATCAAATTGTCAATCATGCTTAGTTACCTGTGAGAAAAACACTTGAGGGTTAGACCGTCCCCTAGGTGTGTTTCAGTTTGGTTGTTTGGTTGGTTGGTTTTGTTTTTTCAAGACAGGATTCCTCTGTAGCTTTGGAGCCTGTCCTAGAACTCACTCTGTAGATCAGACTGACCTCAAACTCACAGAGATCCGCCTGCCTCTGCCCTCCAAGTGCTGGGATTAAAGGCGTGCGCCACCGCCGCCCGGCTAGGCGGGTGTTTTAAGAACAGCCTCCACAAACCTGACGAATTGTGGGTAGAATTAAATGGTAATGAGTCTCAGTCTAAGCAGAGATCGCTGTTTACGGATTTTAAAATCTGGATGTGTGCCTGACTTTGTCACAGATCCTACATTTGCAGGATTTTCCTTTCATTTGTATAATGGTGGTGCCTCTTTTGGAATAGACATGGAAGAGGGTAGTTACCAGCGTGTCCATGTATCTTCACTTAACTGGGAGTGTGTGCCTAGGTCAAGTGCTGGGCCGCGTCTTTCCAGGAGAGTTTCAGGGTTAGGGTGGCATAAAGCCTGTGTTCTTTCTGGTTTTCGGGGACCATTTTATCTGAAAGAGGTATACAAGAATTTTATTTTCCAGGTGCTCTTGGTTAAATTTCTCCGATGGATTTATCATTGTCCTGTTTCTTTCCCCGTAGTTTTTGCTGCCACACAAAGAGCTCTTATGTAAGAGTAGAATTGCTTCATAAGTAGTTGACATATTGCTTCTACTTGATTACAAGTGTGATTATTGTGCTAGCTACTTTTATGTGAATTTAACACAAGCTAGAGTCTTTTGGGAAGAGGGAACCTTGACTGAGAAAATGCCCCCACTAAATTGACCTGTGGGCAAGCCTGGGGGACCTGCTGTTGACTGATGATTGTGGGAGGGTCCAGCTCCCTGTTGGTGATGCCATCCCTGGGTTGGTGGTTGTGGGTTCTTTATGAAAGCTTGCAGAGCAAGCCTTAGGAAGCAGGCTAATAAGCAGCTCCTCCCATGGCTTCTGCTTCAGTTCCTGCCACCAGGTGCTCTGACTTTCTTTGATGATACGCTATGGTTTGAAAATTTAAGCACACTACCCCCTCCAAGCTGCTTCTGGCCATGCTGTTTTATCACAGCCCTAGAGAGCTGACAGTTTTATTAGTTGCTTTTCTCATTGCTGTGTCAAATGCCTGACAGAAGCACCTAAGTGAGGAAGGGTTTGTTCACAGCTCATCATGGTGGGGAAGGCACATTGCTTTCATTGTCAGGAAGCAAAGAAAAGCAAACGCTGACACAGGGTTTCTCTGTGTCACCCTGGCTATCCTGGGACTCATGCTATAGACCAGGCTGACTTTGAACTCTCAGCGATCTGCCTGCCTCTGCCTCCAGAGCACTGCTAGCCTGCTCGGCTCATTCTTTATCAGTCCAGGACCTCCACCCATGGGATGGCACCACCCACATTCATCACGGGTCCTTTCTCCAAGGCAGCCTTCCTAGAGGGAGTGTGCTTCTGTGGTGATAACCGAGTCCAGCAGAGGCTCGGCTCAGACAGCGTCAGCCTCAGGAGTGTGTGAGATCTAGTAGGCAGAGACACCATGTCTTTGGGTCACATAACTTATTTTAAAAGCTACATTAATCCCTCCCTGTCTGTGTTTCTCTCAGTTCTCTGTCTCCCTTTGTTTTTCGCCCACTTTTTGATTCCAGAGAACAGAAGGGCCTCATCCTCTGGGTCCCTTATTTATGTAGCTGGGATCCAAGAACAATGGTGACATCCAGGATTGTTGAAGTTGGCTGCTCCCCCAGTCCTGGCCACCCCACCTCAGCCTCTGAGTCATCCGTTTTTGACATTTTATGCAGAAGGGATTGCACTATTACCCTGTGGAGAGCTTTGTGTCGTAGAGGTGCACCTCTGTGTGTGTGTGTGTGTGTGTGTGTTGTACATTTATAACAAATGGAGCTCACACTGGCCTCTCTGTGTGTGTGTGTGTGTGTTTTGTACATTTATAACAAATGGAGCTCACACTGGCCTCTGTGTGTGTGTGTGTGTGTGTGTGTTGTACATTTATAACAAATGGAGCTCACACTGGCCTCTGTGTGTGTGTGTGTGTGTGTTTTGTACATTTATAACAAATGGAGCTCACACTGGCCTGTGTGTGTGTGTGTGTGTGTGTGTGTGTTGTACATTTATAACAAATGGAGCTCACACTGGCCTCTGTGTGTGTGTGTGTGTGTGTGTGTGTGTGTCTGTGTGTGTGTGGTACATTATAACAAATGGAGGCTCACACTGGCTCTTTGCTGTGCTTTTCAGGTGGACACTCTTTCCCTGGAAGATCTGCATGCATTTATTGCTCAGGCCTTGTGCCTCCAAGGAAAATCAACCTCACAGCTCATGAACGTACAGGTACAGTCATTCATCACGGCCATGGCGGCAATCACGCTGTGCTCACAGGGTCAGCATTCTTTCTAGCCTTTTCATGTTGTAGTTGGCACTTCATAGGAAGCGCAAGGCAGGCATGTTTCCTCAAGGAAACACATGGTCATCCTCCATCGGCAGCTCCCAGATGGGTATCATTTCCGACCCTGACAACCGCTGCATCCTTGCTCAGGACCCCAGGTTGTTTCAGGGCCTGACCTGGTCTTCTGAGTTTGAAGAAAAGCATTTGTCATCCTCTTTGGCCTCAGAGAAATAATGTCTTCCCTGGTCCAAGCTCACCTGTCATATCCCTGTGTGCACAGCAGGGTGGAGCCAGGCTGCACTTCCTGTATCCTCACCCAGCACATAGTAAGTGTGCATACATGTATTAAAACTTAGATTAGACTATATGTATAAAGATCTGTGTACATATTTCTATACTTCTCTCTGTAGCCATAGGTTCCCCAACTAATCATAAATTGAAAATACTTTTTTTTAAACTGTGTAGCACCTGCTTATGTACAAAGACCTGGGTTCTGTGGCTTGTCTCCAGCAACAAACCCAGAAAACGTGGAGTAGAGAATATCACAGCCTAGGGAGAATGCAGTGTTTCAGAGAAGGCTGGCAAACCTTTGTTGAGCAGAAGGCATGTCCTTCTTCACAGAGGAGTCATAGCAGCTGGAAAGGTTGCTGATTACAACAGAAGGGACAAAAGAAAGGGTGAATGTTTCGCCAGTGAGAACTGAAAGTGACCGCAGCCAAGCTAGCGTGTGGGGAGGCTTGAGGGAGACTTAGCTACTTGATGTCTTCATTTTGTCGATTCTGTGTCTCATCTCTGTTGTTTCCATTTCATTGATTCAGCCCTGTTTTTCTTTCTTCCCATCTGCTGTTTCAGGGTTTTGTTTAGTTTTGTTACGGAACTTCCAGGTCTGTCCAGTACTGACTCGAGATCACTCAGTTTTCTTAGACGCTTAGTTCTGTGGATTGCCTCCTCTTGGAACTTCATTGAGTTCCATGGGTTGGGGTATATTATTGTGTTTTTTTTTATTTAATTCTAAAAAGGTTTTAATTTTCTTCTTAGTGATCTGTCTGTTGGTGAGAGGGCAGCCCTGAAGTCACCCGCTGTCCGTGTGAGGGTAAATGTGTTATTTTACCATAATAATATTTGCTTTATGAACTTGGGTGCTCTTGCGTTTGGTGCATAAGTGTTTAGATATGTAATATCCTCATGGTGGAGTTTTCCATTAACACAAACGTAGTATCCTTCCCTATCTCTTCTGATTAGTTTTGGTTTGAAGTCTTATTTTGTCAAATATTAAAATGGCTACAACAGCTTGATTTTTAGGTCCATTCACTTAGAATACTTTTATCCAAAGGTGGTGTGTGTCCTTGATGGTGAAATGTGCTCATGACTGCAGCAGAAAGATGGATCCCAGTTCCTAGTCCAGTCTGTTAGTCTGTACTTCTTACTGGGGAACTGAGACCATTACTGTGGAGAGTCTCCAGAGAGCCGTGTTTGCTGATTTCTGCTAGTTTGTTATGGTGTAGGTGATTTTATCCCTCTTTTGATTTATTGTTCTGGGATTATTGATTCCTTGTGTCCTTCTTCTAGTTAACCTCTTGAGACGGAGGTTTCCCTTTTAGTACTTTTGTAGACCTAAACAGGTAAATAGAAATTGCTTGATTTTGGTTTTATAGCAGTCTGGACTGACATCTGTGGTCTCTCGGAGTGTTACTCTGATGGGCCTGCCTTTATATCATGACTTTTCCCTTGCAGCTCTTAACATCCTTTCTCTGCTCTGTGCATTAGTCTCGTGCTTACTGTGTCTGGGGAATTTCTTTCCTTTCTGGTCCTATGCATTTGGTGTTCTGTGTGCCTTTGATAGGCATCATTTTCTTTAGATTAGGGAAATTTTCTAATATAATTTTTGTTAAAAATATTTTCTGTGCCTTTGACCTGGGTTTCTCTCCTTTCATACCTACCATTTGTGCATTTGGTCTATTTATAATGTCTCAGATTTCCTGGATGTTTGTGTCTGTATTTTTTTTAAGATTTAGCATTTTCTTTGACTGAGCTATCCATTTCTTCTACCTTGTTTTTAAGACCTGAAATTCTTTCTTTCATGTCTTTAGTGAGGCTTACCTGTGCGGTTTTTGTTAAATTTTTCACTTCCAATTGTATTTTAGTTTGATTTTTCTTTAGTAATTCTGTTTTTTTGTTAAATTCTACTTTCATATCTGAAATGTTTTCATTATTTTGTTCAACTGCTTGCTTCTGTTTTCACAGAGCCTAGACGAGATTCAACAGCGAGAAACACTTCAAACCCCTCAGCCAACAGAACACGCTCTGTTGCATGGATGTGCCAAGTGTGGTGACCTTAGGGTCACTGGTAGAAAGTGCATCCGGGGTCAGAGGGTGTCACAGAGGAATGGAGATGGGCTGAAAGAACTAGGAGACTCTGGGTCCACACCAAGAGGACAGGAAGTGGGCTGAGAGGAGACACTTGTGCTGGGAACTTCAGCAGAACTAAGGAGTACTCTGGAGAGGCTAGACCGGATGACAATAAAAGTTGCCTGCTAGGTTGTAGACTAGTGTAGCCACTGGGGGGTCCCTGGTAGAAAATAGGGGCATGGGTCTGTGAGTGTCACAGAGGAGTGGATGGGGCTAGAAGGAAGGGTTGGAAGGGGCAGCAGAGCCTCATCTACAGAGAGAGTTCCAGGAAAGCTAGGGTTATACAGAGAAACCCTGTCTTGAAGAAATGGAGGGAGCGAGGGGAGGAAGGGAGAGATGGAGGGACGGAGGGAGGGTGGGACAGCAGGAGAAAGGACCCTTAGGTTCACACCAGAAAACAGAGTTCATACCCCGATAGTCTGCCTCTACATGATCCATCCTGTTGGTGAACTGTCCCCTGGATTTTTTATTTGACCTACTGGTCTTTTCCTTTCCATCATTGTTTTGGTTTAGGTTTTCTTCAGTATTGATCTGTTTACTCTTTTTATGTTGTGGATTGTCTTCCTCATTTTATTCAGCAGCCTGTTTGTGTTCTTGTAGAAAATAGTAGGGTCCTCCTTATAATGTTACCATATTTATAATCATTCTCTTCAATCCTAACGTCCAGAATTTCATCTGCATAATACTAGTTAGGAGTTATTAGAAGGGGGTTGGTGATTTATAGAGGAAATAAGTTGGCTTGGTTTTTTTTTTTTAATGTTACTTATGTTTTGCACTGAGATTTGCTCATCTGGGGTTAGAATATAGGTTAAGATTTTCTGTTCTTTTAATTGCCTTTCTTCTTTAAGTGGATGTGTTTACAATGTTTACAAGAGACTGGGTTGTAATATAGTTCTGATGTTGTCATCTGTTAGACTCTTGTTCTAGTCACCAGGCTCTATCTACTCTGCCCCTGTGGGCTGAGTACCAGCTGCAGCTCCAGTAATTAAAGTACTTCAGTAATGTCATTGCCGGTGACCACAGGACACTTATTAGTAAGGGCTAATTTAGAAAGTAAATGGACCTCAGTAGTACTGTGGACACTAACAATGCTAGCGTGAATGCAGAGAAGAAAAGACGTAAACAATCCATCCCTGTGAGACTGGCAATAAGCATTAGGTTGTTAGGTGGGAAGCAGAGACAAGGGGCATACATAGGAGTGATAAGCATTAAGGCAAAGGGGAAATGAGGTGGATATGTGGGATTTGGTTTAGTTGTAGACTAAAAAGAAGCAAAGATATACTTAGTGATTAAACCAGGTCATTCGTGGACTTAGAAGATGCAACGCCAAGTGGAATAGATTTCTCGGAGTCAGGAAAGAGAAAGAAGAGTGTAAGAGTGTGTGATACGAACAGCAGGTGACAGCGTTGGCCTGTTGTAGTGTCCTCCTGTACTATGTAGATGAGAAATGGCTGTCGTGGGGACGGAAAGCTGGGAACATCTAAGAAAAAGTGAGCACGGGCCTGAATGTGCTTCCCTGCACTGCTCTGGCTTCGCCTCCTTGGTCTTGGTGTAGGTTGTGTTCCCTGTGGCTTTTAAATGGTCTCATCTCCCACCGCGATGGCTCTCAGCTCCTCTTGTGCAGGGTGTTTACTTGGCTGTTTTGGTGGCTGTGGAGAGCTGAGGAAAACTCAGTCCTGCTGAGGCTGCTGCCCTCCCACAGGGTCGTCAGGAGCTGCTGGTTTCTTTCCCTGGGCAGTTTTGTCTTTCCTCGTTTGTGTGTTGCTGGTATATACCTGGGGACAGTCACTGGGAACCCCTATGTAAAATTCCTGCCACTACCGTTCTGTAGATTTCCTGGCAGGAGTCTTTTAGCCCAGTTTGCTTGGGGGAAGCAGCTTTGCAAGGGGCGGCTGCTGAGTGGCAGCAGCAAATCCATTCATGGGGCCTGTGGCAGAGGAGACTTGTTGGGGTGTTGATCAAATCTATTTCAGGACTTGGAAAAGTAGCAGATGGAGTGATAAAATATTCATATTCCCTTTAATTCCCAAACGGTGATGAGTGCCTCCGTCCAGTGTGCCTTCTGTTCTGCCATCTTATCCAGGAGTCCCTGAAAGGAAGTCTCAAGGGAATTACAAAACCAAAGCGAAACAATAGACTCCAAACAAGAGCTAAACTTGAGGATGAAAGAGCCACACGCAGAGTTCAGTTATATTCCCCGTACTATCAGTGCACACAGGGGAACTGAATTAGGAAAACAGTGCCATTCATAATTTTTTTTTACTAAATTGAATTGCCTAGGTACAAATTAAACATACGTAAGATTTGTAGGTCCAAATTTGCAGTCTTGCTGGATGTGGTGGTGCATGCCTTTAATCCCACTCCTGGGAGGGAGTCAAAGGCAGGACCTATATAGTGAATTCCAAGACAGCCAGGGCTACGTAGAGAACCCCCCTCTCCAAAAAAATGATAATCTCAATTAAGCAGGCAAGAGAAAAGCCCCGCATGTGAAGGCCAGAGGACTTCACTCACAGTAAGTGAAAGAAGGGTTGTGCTAATGGACCTTAGAAGTAGTTTATTAAATTCAGTTCTGCTCGTGGTAGACTCTACAGACCAGACGTAGAAATTTTATGTTAATGAAGAGCTTCTACAGACCCTACAAAGAATCCCTGTGTCTCTTTCTAAAGAATGACAACTTCCAGAGTCACAAGCAGTTGGAGCAGTTCAACCCCTTCAGGGTGAAGGTTAAATCTGCAGTGACCCAAGCCCATGATAAACAGCTGTTTAGTTAATGAGGCAGGTCTCCCACGCTGTGTCCCTGCTGGCCTGGAACTCACTGTGTAGAGCAGGGTGGTCCTGAACTTGTGCGGTCAGGCTCTGGCACTACAGCCGTGTGCCAGCGTGCTTGTGCTTCAGGTCCTAAAACAATAGTCAGATTCATGTAGGTGAGGCCTGTCTAGGAATGGGCTGAAACACCTGCCACTTTCTCTGACTTTTTTCAGCTTTATTTACTGTGTCAGATGTGTAATAGTGTTTAAGATAACATTGGTCAGTGTGAGCAAAGTGATTCCAAGAAGGCGATTGACTCGCTGGTGCTCTGGTTTCCATGGGGTTTCTTAGACATCTGTAGTGTTGATGCCGGCAGTGGGTTCAGCGTTCCAGACCCATGGTGAATGTGTGGCCTCTTGTGGGACTGTGGGGCCCTTTGTTAGCATAAAGGGTGACTCCTCCATCAAGAACAGAAGAAAGCTGAACATAAAAGTCTGTTTAACAAAGAAAAGAAGTAGTTCGTATCAGCAAGACATTTTTTTCTTTTATGTGTATGAGTATTTTGTCTGCACCTTGTGTACCTTGGACTCTGCATGCAGAGGCTAGAAGCGGGCATTGGGTCCTCTGGAGCTGGAGTTACAGACAGTCACTATGTGGGTGCTAGAAATCAAACCCAAGTCCTCTGGAAGAGCAGCCCTTAACTGCCAAACCATTTTGCCAGAGCTGAGGCAAGATATTCTTAATTTATAAAAACTCAGGCACCAGCCTTTTGAGATTACATCATTTGCCATTTTATTTTTAAATGGTATTCATTCGAAATGAGATTAAGTATGGCTTTTAGAAAACATGGTGAGTGGCTCTCCCTTTGCCTTTAAAGAAAGTTTTTCAGGGGAACAAAGCCAACAATTATCTTATAAGTTCTACCTAGTGGCCACCCCTTATGTTGGCCCAGATTTTCCTAGAACAGTGTCTTAATTCCTGATCTGTCTGTGACAAGACATCGTGACCAAGCAAGCAAGGTTAACTGGGAGAGAGCATCCACAAACCCAAGGCAGACATGCACACGTGCACACACACACAAACAGAGGTAGGGAGACCTGGGAATGGTATGGTGTAGGCTATTGAAACTGCAGAGTACCATCCCCAGGTCCACACTTCCTCCAAGGCCACTCCTCCACCAACAAGGCCACACCTCCTAATCCTTTCCAAACAGTTTCACCAATTGAGGACCAAGCATTCAAACATGAGCCCATGAGAGCCTTTTAATTCATACCACCACAAGCAGGATGGTTATGTTCCAAATCTGTATAAGGAGAGGACCGCTGCCTGGTGGGTGGAGGGTGAACAAGGTCGTGCACTGGCCTGGGTTCCCACCTGCTTCTCTGGCCAGCTTGTTTGCCAGGTCTCTTCCAGTCAGACTTGCGCAGGAGGCCAGTGTCATGTTCAGGGTTCGTCAGGCGCCTGTCCTGAAGACAGCATCGTGGGCCCGACCCCCTCGAGTTACCGTTTTGCTGCACCTATCTAACTTCTGCTTGGCGCTGTCTGTCTTGAGCTTGCTGTGCATGTCTGTCTCCACAGCCGGATTACATTAACTCCAGAGCTGTGCAGCTGGGGTCCCTCCTCGTCCGTGGCCTCACCATGTTGGTACTGGTCAACAGCGCATGTGGCTTCCCCTGGACAACAAGCGAATTCATGCCCTGGAATGTCTTTGACGGCAAACTTTTCCATCAGAAGTACCTGCAGTCTGAAAAGGGATATGCTGTGGAGGTTCTCCTGGAACAAAATGTGAGCTCTGGTCACTGCATATTGGAATAAGGAGTAGGCGTGAAGTCAGTGACTCTAGTGTACCTGGAAAGTCTGCCCATCCCATTGGTCAGGTCCTCCAGAGTCATCCCCATCACCTCACAGAGGTGCAAGAACTGTGCTTACGGTTCTGTAACTCATGTCCACACATGAGGGTGGCCTGGTTTAGCGGCATCAGTTGATGTCCATGTAGCTAATTGCTTCTGTAGGGAAAATGAGCTAAAAGGGTTTGCAGTGTCTTCAGAGGGTCTCCCAGACAGCAGACTAGTTGGGCAGACCGTCCTGCTACAAAGGCTGCCCATGTCCTGGGGACACTGACTGCTGCCCCAGCTTTCTAAGTACAATTGCTTCATGATTCCTGGAAGATTTCCAAATGAGGCCTCCCGCCAAGCTCATTTGGAATGTTTTATTACCCACAGGGATGAGAAGGCGGTGTGGCTGTGAGAGAACATGCTGATCTGTTAGATAAAACACTCCCCGAGTTTTCACACCAAAGGGAAAACATTTGGCAGTGTGTTGCTGTCACCATTTCTCACCAGAGTTCCAGGGTGTTGCAGGGTTTGTGAGTGTTCAGAACTTAGAGGGGCAGAAAGGAAACCCTTTCTCAGCTTTGGACATTGCTCCAGCAGGGACTGAAGGAGACGCAGGTCTGGGACACAGCTGCCCATTATCCTTATTTGTGTACCTCAAAATCTACAATTCCTCCTCGAGTACCTCAAACCCACTTAAAAGAATCATCGAGGATGAAGTATTGATTCATAATTCAAGAGGCTATGAGAACAGTGCTGTTTACCGCCCCCCCATCTGCTGCTGCCTGATGACCCCAGCATTCCTCTCCGTGTTCCTGGATTATCACAAGAGTAGATTTTTAGCCATGACTCTTTAGTCTACGCAGGATAGAAACAGTCATCATAGGTGTTTGCTGCTGTTTCCAGGGGTCTCAGGAGGGGAACAGTCATCAAGACCCTCTTGGGGTCTGAGAGTAGCCACTGCCTCTACTTGGTGCAGACTATGCAGCTACGCTGGCTGATGTCCTAGGGACAGAGACCACTAGTAGGTCCCCCGTCCCCCCACCTCACACCCTACTCTTTCACGGAGCATGCGGCCAGCCTGCATTTTCATCTGATCTGTTTGCAGAGATCGTGGCTCACCAAGTTCCACAACCTGAAGGCCGTGGTCTGCAAGGCCTGCTCCAAGGAGAACCGGCGCATTGTAGGGAGAACACACTGGAACTCTCACTACACAGGTGGGCAGGGTTGGTGCGTCCCCTTACCTGTCGCATAACGTGCTGGGGCCCTGGGTAGACTTGCCTGCTTTCTTGTGATTTACTGATAAAAGAATGATAAAATTATGACAGATGAATATGACTGGGCTATACTCATAGCTTAAATTCTGTTCCCATCAGGAAGAATATCTCAGGAAGGACCCGTTTGTTAATTGAATGAAGAGCTTTCTCTAATGCACCATCTGTTTCCCACAGTTCCCTTTATTAAAGGCTACATGGATAATGTGTATCTACCTTACAAAACTTGAGGTTTAGTTTTTCTCAAAACAAATGGACAGTAGAAAAATTCAGTATGTATATACGTATATGTGTGCAGTCATGAATGGTTTTAAAAAGTGGTCTTGATTTGAAAGGAAAGTAGAAAAGGGCAAATGGGAGGGAGGGGAGAAATGTTGCAATTAAATTATAATCTCAAAAAGAAAATCATTCAACAGGAGCTATAAAAACTCATGGTGCTGTGACCTAACATGGCCACTCTTGAAAGATGATGCCCTGCTGAAGGGCCTTCCTGTGCTACAGTTCAAGATTCTCACCCTTCCACAGAGCTTGTATCACGTTAAGCAGTGGCCAGTGGATCCTAGTCAACCAAGGGGCTCTATGGGGAGAGTGTCAGTGACAGGCATTCCCGTAAGCTGGGTGCTGGTTCCACAGTGAGGAAGCCTAGTGGTCTGGAGAAGATTGGCTGTAGATTCAAGTGATTACAACAGGAGGAAGGTCAGTAGGAGTTGGGTATAGAATCCTTCTTAATATTGAACTTAAGAGAGTTGATGTTTGTATCCATTTCAAATTGAGGAACTTTGGAAGGTTTTGAAGTGTTGTTATCAGAACTGCACTCTTAGGATAGCAGCTAGTTTGTTAGTCGAGGGAAACAGGATCAGGAGATGGCTAGCCCAGGGGTTGTCCTGGGCCCCAGATGAGAGGTGACCCTGGGGGAAGCACCTGCTCCCTTGGAAGGTCTCAGGCATCACTAAGTTGTCCTTTGATCTTTTACCCTCACTGGTGGGTGAATCACTTGGGTGCTTGCCCTGTTTGTCCAAGGCTCCAGGCAGAAGAGGAGTTTAGTCTCTGAAGGGCCTGCCATGCGTGTCTTTTACTTGGGGTTCCTGGCCAAATGCCACACTGCCTAGCAGACACACTCCAGGGTCTGTGGTTGGCACTTGTGGTAGGAACTCAACTCTCTTTCTGTGGAGCATGTGAAATAAAGATACCTTAAAAAGTATAAGATAGTACATAGTTAGTGGGAGTTAGTGATACAAGGAAGACATCAGAGTATAAAAAGAGTGTATTAATGCATTTGTGGGAAACATGGAGGAGCTCACCACATCCCAGGAATATGCTCAAGGGGAATCATCCATATGGTTGTGTTATCTGAAGAGAGGCAGGAGGTGGGCCTCCTCGTTGGAGGAAATAGCTTTTGCAGTAGTTTCCTCTCTGCATTTTAAAGACACATGGTGAGATATTTCTTAGTACTGATCGTAGGCCACCATTTGGCTTCCAGTACAGATTGGCCGCACCTCGTCTTTTTTTTTTTGGATTTTCGAGACAGGGTTTCTCTGTGGTTTTGGAGCCTGTCCTGGAACGAGCTCTTGTAGACCAGGCTGGCCTCGAACTCACAGAGATCCGCCTGCCTCTGCCTCCTGAGTGCTGGGATTAAAGGCGTGAACCACCACCGCCCGGTGGCCGCACCTCTTCTGAGGCCTTTTCTGTAGTCTTGGTCTCATTCTGCTGCTGTGTGCACACTGAAGGTATGCTGGCCTGGTGTCATTCTGCTGCTGTGTGCACACTGAAGGTATGCTGGCCTGGTGTCATTTGTACACTGTTACGTGTGAGATGAAATGAGTGACCGTGTGCTGATGTGTTGACAATGTTCCCACAGGGAGGCTGGGGAGACAGGGCTCCAGCTCCCACAGGACAGGCTCCACACATGGCCATCCTGGGCATGGGCAGCCATGGAGAGACCAGGGTCCAGGTAAGAGGCTGCCACCCCAGCCTTCAACTGCTCATAGGCGCTGCATTCCTTTGTGCTGTGTTTGTGCTAAACTTGCTGCATTTCCTGTTTGAAAACCAGTCACATATTTACATTGAGAAAACAGATCAGTGTGTTGCCATACCTAATTCTTTGTTTAGTGGAATAGAGACAAATGATAATCTTGCTTGATGGTGATATGTCTGCTTCTTACTGCTTTATCTTCTACCAGTTTATTCCTCTCTTGAAGTCTCGATTTTTATATTTATCAAAGGGTTTTCTAAGGTCGCTAATGGAGGGCTCAAACCTAAGTGTTGTGCTCTCTTTCATGTCATGGATCACATTTATAAGTTAGAAATGCAGCTTCTTATATATCAGACAGGTGTATTGATAATCACTCTGTATTGAATTAGATATGCAATATTTGTACTTAAATATTTAGAGAACCTCTCATCAGTGTTTGAATTCAAATTCCTTTTAGGTTTCAGAGCTAAACTTGATAGACTGAAATTACCTAAGATTTATGGCTTTGTCTTTTTATAGAAGCATACTCAAATGTGACTTTTGCTTTTGTAAACTGGTGTGTGCAGATTCCCATGTGGCTCAGATCACTGTCCTAAAACACAGCAGCTCTTCCGTCCCAGTACAGTGGCAATTTGAGCAGTCCATTCCTGTGATGCTGCTGAGGAAGGACTCTCCTCATGCTGTGGACAGCACGCGTGTACAGTGCCCAGGCTGTGGACAGCACGCGTGTACAGTGCCCAGGCTGTGGACATCACGTGTGTACAGTGCCCAGGCTGTAGACAGCATGTGTGTACAGTGCCCAGGCTGTAGACAGCATGTGTGTACAGTGCCCAGGCTGTGGACATCACGTGTGTACAGTGCCCAGGCTGTAGACAGCATGTGTGTACAGTGCCCAGGCTGTAGACAGCATGTGTGTACAGTGCCCAGGCTGTAGACAGCATGTGTGTACAGTGCCCAGGCTGTAGACAGCATGTGTGTACAGTGCCCAGGCTGTAGACAGCATGTGTGTACAGTGCCCAGGCTGTGGACACACGTGTGTACAGTGCCCAGGCTGTGGACACACGTGTGTACAGTGCCCAGGCTGTGGACACACGTGTGTACAGTGCCCAGGCTGTGGACACACGTGTGTACAGTGCCCAGGCTGTGGACACACGTGTGTACAGTGCCCAGGCTGTGGACATACGTGTGTACCGTGCCCAGGCTGTAGACAGCACGTGTGTATAGTGCCCAGGCTGTAGACATCACGTGTGTACAGTGCCCAGGCTGTGGACAGCACGTGTGTACCGTGCCCAGGCTGTGGACAGCACGCGTGTACCGTGCCCAGGCTGTGGACAGCATGCGTGTACCGTGCCCAGGCTGGGACAATGTCAAGGCTTATCTTCTTGATTTGGGTATTGAGCAAACTTTGAAGCTGCTGTGTAGTTCAGAATAATCCAGTTCCTGGTAGGTGTCTTTGAAAAGAGAAGCACCAGCAGTGTAGACTTGGGTTGACATTTGACTCCCTTGAAGTAGCTGAACTTACACAGAATACCCCACCACTCCTGACTGAAACTTTCCAGCACAGCCTATATCCAGGGCTTTCTGCCCCGCTACCAGCTGGCACATGACTCTTAGCTGACCCAGACAGATGTTTGTCCAGAATAATGGCGAGGGAGGGGCAGAGATCTGACTAGGTAGATGTCTCTTAAGGCCAAAGACCACCAAAAGTAACAAAAGCCTGTAGATCTTCTTTGTAAAGCTATGACTCTGAAAATGGCTTTAGCCGCTAGGGTTAGATAGGATCTAGGTGTAGCTATCTGCATGTCCCACCCTGAAGTGTTTAAGGAACCTAGATCCTGACACAAGGCACCTGGCTAAAAGTCAGGCTAATGTTCTTGAGGCTTTGGCTCTTTGCGGTTGCTGTGCTGGAAGAAGAGCTAGTGGTCCTCCCTTGAGCAGCTAGTCTCCACTGATAATTCTCCCACTGCAGAAGTCACTCAACCTTCCTTTCCCTGCCAGCAGCAGCAGTCCACCTGGTCTGCTATGCTAAGCAAGGTGGTACCTTCTCCTTGTCCTCTTTGGCCTGCCGTTACCCCAGTCCCATGTGCAGAATCTTTATGCTAAGCCAAATGACAACTGTTGAGTTGTGGGCGATAAGAGGTTTAGTTCTCCAGGGAAGCTTGCACCTTCACTAGATACAGGAGAGTACAACTAGTATTGTCAGACTGACTGTGTCTGATGCCCGTCTTAGGTAACTGTCCTGGATCCTTGGTCTCTGCCAGGCTGTTCCATCAATCAGCCTGTGTACCCAGGGCTCCACGGTGCTGTGATTCTTTGCTTTTTGGTTGGTGGATGAGTATAACTCCTACAGGTGAGTAGGAAGGGTGCTGTTTACAGAGGTGCCGTAGAAACAGGCCCATGCCCGTCTCCTCTGGGAAGCCTGGGCCTTAGTAACCTCACCTGCAGCTCTCAGGACAGTGAGAGCTGCATCTCCTCTCCACCATTTCACAACCAGCACGTCAGTGCCTTTGGTTTTCCTGACAGATATTCCTTAGCATAGCTGCACTTAGAAAATAAAGCAAGAAAGCCTACTGAAACTGTGAACCCTACAAAGAGTTGCTATACCCACAGATCCCTGTCCCATGCTGAGTGCCCAGCAAGAATGTCACAAGAATTGGGTCATTCTCACCCCTAGTGTGATGACAGAAGTTACAGGGATATGTTTCAAATGCCCTAGGGGAACCAGTTCTTCCTGGGGTTGTTGGTCATGGGGGTGTTGATTTCTTCACATTGTTTTAGCAGAGTACTGAGCATGTCCTCACAGAAGAGAATAGAGTGGCTCCCTAGGAGAGATGCCCTGCTAGAGAGATGTCTACCCTGGTACCCACATCACTGCACAATTCCAAGATCCCAGAGTAGCATGGTGTCTGTATGTCCCACCACTGTGACAACCATCTCCACGACACCAGGATGCACCCTATGTGGTGGTGTCCTTGTGACTGGTGATGAGGCTAGAGGCCTTAGCCACATGTAGACAAAAGTTTAGGACAAGGAAGCAGAAGGCTAATGAGAAAGTGGTGGGCGCCTCCTGCTGGGCCCACACCTGAGGGTCAGGAGCCGTAGGAATTGAAGGACTGGACGTGCCGTGAAGGCTAGTCATCAGTTGTTCCAAGGACATGTCATCCTATCCCAAGGTAATCCTTTCAGGGTGCTCTTCCCATGCGTGTTTATAAAAACAGTTGCTACATGCTGAAGAACTCAGGGCAGCAGCCGCAGCTCTTTGGTTCTTTGTATCTATGCCAGGCTTCTCCTGATTTCCTGGTCTTACCCAGGTGGTCTGCACTCTCACACACATCAAGGATCTCAGCCATGGCCTGGCCTGGTACCATTCGCTCTCCTTCTGGACTTTTTGCATCTTCAGGACTGGGTCCTCTCTGAACTGCGGGCTTTTAGCCCCCAGCATTCTACATGCCACTGCTTCCTGGCCTTTTGTCTGTGTCCTGGGCCACGGTTCTATAGCCTAGCACCGACATCCCTTTTGTGAACTCTGGCACTGGGCAGCTTTAATGAAACAGATATGTGGGTACCCTGATTGCATGCTCTCCAGTGGTTTACTGAGCATGATATTCTTCACGTGCTGGATGATGGGTTCTTCAGTCTCACTCCTGGTGACTCAGCGAGTGATGCCATGCTTCCCGATGTCTTAGTTCTAAGTTCAGTATGCATACCCATAACCACCAATTTTTTTTAAAATGTTTATTTATTTATTATGTATACAATATTCTGTGTGTATGCCTGAAGGCCAGAAGAGGGTGCCAAACCTCTTTACAGATGGTTGTGAGCCACCATGTGGTTGCTGGGAATTGAACTCAGGACCTTTGGAAGAGCAGGCAATGCTCTTCTTAACCACTGAGCCATCTCTCCAGCCCCCATAACCACCAATTTTTGAAATCTCATTTCTGATGTATATATCTTGGAAACTATGTTTACACATATAAAGAAAATGCCAGACAATCAAAAGCAATAAGCAAGTTGTCGTCCCTGGCACAGATGTGCAAGCTCTGGGGGCACACAAGGCCCTGGACAGTCGGTCCTGTCCAGCCAGTGACTGTAGCAGCTGACTGATTTGCTGCTCATCCAGGCTGGAAAGTTCCAGCAGGGAGTTGGCTTCTGTCCACCTACTTGGCCACAGTAAACTTGACACATTGGGAGTCTATACTGGTGTGTGTGTTTTCTAGCTTTAAGACCAGAGGAACCCATTTACCCTGTTTTTCTGATCACTTGAAAACAGAAACATGGTACTGGTCACATGTTAAAGCCCACAAACTACATAGACATTGTGTCCTGCTTTGAGACTTGGGACTTTGAAGGACAGCTCTATTTTATTGGGTTATAATAGAAACATAATCACAGTCTTGACTGTGAAGGTTGGGCTGGGAAAACTTCTAAGACCTGAGACCAGAAGGCCAGTTTGAGCAGCCTAGTGCTGGGTTGATGTCCACTTGAAAGGCTAGAGGTGAATCTGGGAGCAGCTAGGGGCAGAACGTGAGCAAGGACAGGGCTTCATTGGCGCCTTGCCCACACGGAAGAAAGTCCACAGGCCACTCGCTGCTGCTGCTGCTGCTGCTGCTGCTGCTGCTGCTGCTGCTCCTGCTCCTGCTGCTGCTCCTGCTGCTGCTCCTGCTGCTGCTCCTGCTGCTCCTGCTGCTCCTGCTCCTGCTGCATTAGTGCTTTTCAGTGGTGTGTGCAACACCAGCTCTTACATAGCTGGTCCTTAGTTGGAATTGTTGTTGTTTTAAAGATCAGGCAATCTACTTTTTCTGTGAAATTACTGAGGTTGTGTTTTGGGCCAGTACATTTTTATAGTGGGTTTTTCCCTGGCTTAAATATTTTTGTATTTCTTCAACATATAAAATAGAAAGTTGTTACTGTTTCAAGATTAAAAAAAAATAGACAATATTCTTCATGTTAAAAAATAAGACTCGAAATGCTTTATATTCAAAATGGCAGTGATCCCTTTTGTCATAGTTCACACATTTTCAGAGTCTGGACCTAACTGCATAAACGTGGGAGCTGAGGTCTCGGGGTCACTGCAGTGACCGCAGCCTGGCAGATAGGGGTAGGTGCACCCCAAAGGTGGCCATCATCCCAGCCACCCTGTGACCAAATGGCTACCAGAGTTGAAGTTTTGACTTCTCCCTTGCTATTCTTCAGCCCAGCTGGAGAGGAAAAAATGTGTTAAGTTCCATTAAGGAGCTGTAAACTTAGGTGGGATTCTTCACTTCGCCCCTTCTCATGATGACCCAGAGGGGCCTGCACACTAGGAGGCTACAGGACTGGGAGTGGAGATGACAGGGTGGTGAGGTCGTGTTAATCTGGACACCTGTTAGGCCCATCACCTCACACTTCAGGGTCATTAGGCAGGGTGTGTTAAAGCCATTGCTTTCAAGTACCAAAGAAAGCCAAGAGCAAGACTTGGAGAGAAGTGTGTTGTTGAGAAAGAGCCTCACTCTGTGTCGTTATCCTGCCTGTAACTCAGAGATCGCCTGCCCCTGCGTCCTGAGTACCACCATGCCCAACCAAAAAGTGTTATCTTTAAGATGTGGAAACAGTTTTTTTTCTTCAAGGCTAGCTCTGCTCCAAGTCCCTTCCCAGCATAAGTGTCTGTCAGAGGCAGGAAGTGGCCAGCTACACTGTGGGGTTGGGGGGCTTGTGTGCTCAGCCCTGGGAGAGCCACACGTGGCTTTTTCTGTGCTTGGCAGGAAGTCCTCTCAGCCATCTGCATATGAATTTCCATTTCCAGAGTCATTAGCAGTAATAAACATCTAGATGTCCTGCAGATGGTTAGAACTGGCACCAGGAGGAACAATTGTGACAGTTTCCTTCTACTAATAGCACTACCTCCTAATTAATTGCTTCCACTTTAATGAAATAATTATAGAACAAAATTTAATGACAGGTGGTACAACTGAAAAATGTTGTCTTCCAGTACCACTCAGCAGTCTGTCTTTATGCATACTTAGAAGAGAGCTACTGTTTGGAGACAGTGCTTCTTACTTGGGTTTTATTTCTGTTTGGTGCAGGAGGCAGACAGTATGAACATGACCAGTGGAGAAGATACTAGACATCTTGCAGGTGGAGTCCTCGCCAGTATCTTAAAATGAATCAGTAGGTTAATGTGTCACATGCGCAGCTTCCCGACTGGGGTCCACCGACTTAATTCAAGGAGTGTTTGCTTCTTCCAGGAAGTGTGGGAAGACAGTGCAGTGCCCAAACTCTGCCCCCTTCAGAGAATCTTCAGAGTGATGCCACCCGGTCGTATCAGCAAGAAGGTGGCAACTGGAACCACACTGTAAAAGAAGGCACAATTCCTTCTTATCAGAGGCTTCTCCCACATGCACTGTAAAAAATGTCCATTGGTTTGGTTTCAGAGGCTGCTCCTGACCCCGTGACCCATCACGTATGCTCCCTGATCTTAGCAGAACTCTGATTCCCTCACGCCTTTTCTTATTAGATTGTGAAAATGTTTTCCCAAATCATTAGTCCTTGATATCATGGAGTCTTAGCTATTTTTGATACTGTGAAAAGATACCATGACCAAAGCAGCTTACAAAAGAAAGCACTTAATGTAAGGCTCAAGGTTCCAGAGGGCATGTCAGGGAGCCAGGCAGCAGGCAGGCCGAGGAAGACTCTTAAACTGGGAATGGCTCCTCACCCAGTGACACGCCTCCTCCAGCATGGCCACGCCTCCTCCTGCATGGCCACGCCTCTTCCGGCTCGGCCACGCCTAATCTTTTCCACTAACTGCAGACCAAGCATTCAGACATATTAGCCTATGGGGGTCATTTTAATTCAGACCATCACACATGGTATCTAATAGCCATATAACCTGTCAGAAATTATTGTTTCATTAGAAATTCTAACAGAAGTCAATTATCCCACAATTTCTTTTCTTGATCCTCAGAAGTGTTTGGATAGAAAAAAAAAAACCTAGATTCTTTCTTGCTTGTTTGTGGGAAAGTTGGTTCTGCTTGGAGGTGAGATGGCTCAGTAGTGGACAGTGGCTGCTCTTCCAGGGAGCCTGGGTGTGATTCCCAGATGGCTCAGTCGTGAAGGACAGTGGCTGATTTTCCAGAGAGCCCGGGTGTGATTCCCAGATGGCTCAGTGGTGAAGGACAGTGGCTGATCTTCCAGGGAGCCCGGGTGTGATTCCCAGATGGCTCAGTGGTGAAGGACAGTGGCTGATCTTCCAGGGAGCCTGGGTGTGATTCCCAACACCCACACAATAGCTCACACCAGTCTGTAACTCCAGTTCCAGGGGACCCAACACGTCTTCTGGCCTCTGTGGACTCCAAACACACAAGTGATGTACAGACGTACATACAGACAAAACACCCATAAAGGTGAAAAAACAAGTAATTTTTTTTTTTAAAGCAGCACAGTAGGTCAGACTGAGAAGTAAGGTCCTCTTTAACCTTTGAAGTTACTCCCTATCTCCACTGGGAACACAAGAGTAGCGGTGCCCAGGGCCCTGACAGCCACTCCTGACCCCTGAAGATGTATCTAGTAGGCCTCTAGAAATGTTCATTTTCGTCTTCACACTGACAGTTATCCAGACCACTAGCTCCAGTGTGCTGTGCAAGGCATGCATGTTCCACCTACCAGAAAAGTCCATAGCTCCCACATCTGAACCGTTTGTGTTTGTTCAGCTTCTTCAGGACTTCTGCATACTATGTCTGCAGGTCGCTGCTGTGACCTTAATGCCTCGGTGTGGAACTTGCTTTTGTGATCCTCCAGTGAGTATTTCCCTTTAATACCTACTTCCTGTCCTCATTTTTGCTTCTTTGAAACATTGCTGCCTTTAGAAGGTCTGTTTCTTTGCTGTTCACTTGTGTAACTTTGGATCAAGTTTCTGATCTCTCGGATTGAAAGTATATTCCTATGAAAGCTGTTTTCCTTCACAGAATCTGTATTCTGACTTGTCAATAAAATGTGGATGCCATTCACAAGCTCAAATAAGCCGTTGTGTTGGTGGGATGTTTATGTCTTTTAAAATACCAGTGTGCAGAGCTTTGCCAATTAGAATATTGCTTCTGTTGTTTTCCAGTCAAGTGGTAGGTAGAATTTCCACATATCAGTTTAAAATAAAAATATGCTTTTTACTCATACTTCTTTCCTTTTATGTATGTATTTGTTTATTTATTTAAGACAAGGTCCTGTTCTATTGCCCAGACTGGTATGCATGTCATATCTTTCTTTTTCTTTATAGAGAAATAATGCTAGCCCAGAATCTTACGGTCAGTGTTCCTAAAGTCAGAAAGATCAATGCATTTTCAGGAATCAAAAAATTTGACACATATTTTCTTTCTAAGAGGAAATGGGTGTGCTCTAATAGAATGGATGCTTCATCCCTTGGAATAACTAACTGTGAAACCGTTAGGCAGAGACATAAGTGGAATAGGCAGGTATTGCTAGGCAGTTGGGAACTGTGAAAGCAAGTAAGACAATAGAACAACAGGGGCAGGCACAGCTCTGGGTTGTTACAAGAAAGGGATGAGCATGTCTGAGTGAGGTGAAAAGTGAAGGCATGTTTTCTTTCCTTGCTTAGAAAACAGTATTTTTATTATCTGTCAATATTTTTAGAAATATATGCTAAAATGTATGTAGAACGTGATATGAATTAGAAAAAAACTGTAAAAAGGCAAGTCACTTGCACTCTACGCTGGAATCAATTCTAAAGTACAGGAAAATGGAAAGATAAATAGAAGAGCACACTTGTTTTGGAAACCAATAGATCAAGTACAACAAAAATAACGACATACATTTGAGCAGTAAATGCCTTTTGGTTTGTATTCTTTCTGAGCGCCTGTGGACAGTGATAGAATCCAACTATGAGTTAACCCTTAGCAATTAGCTCACCATTCTATTTATTGAGGAAATGACTTGCAAATTTATTTTAAAATATTAATAAAGGTACTCCATTTAAAACTTACAGAAGGGAAGTGATGTCGCAGAACATACATCAGAAGGCACCAGGAATCCATAATTCCAGCTCAGTAGCAATTCTACCTGCATTAACGTTGAAACTGACTGTCCAAGAAAGCTTGATTGATACTTTGTGGGTAATTTCCACTAATTTCAGTGGCTTAGCCAGTGACAACCCTGTGTGCATGTCTGGTTCAGGCTGCCAGGGCCAAATGAGCAGAACACCTTGCCCTCTGAATGGGGTGCTGTGTGGCGGCTACTCTTTTTGTTTCCTGAGAAACATGGGGGCTGGCTGTCATGTGTCCACTTCCCTAGCTTAAGTAACTCCCACAGGGTTTAAAGGAATACCACCTATGGGTAAAGATTAATTAGGGGCCGGAGAGGTGTCTCAGCAGTTAAGAGCACTGGCTGCTCTTCGGTGACCTGAGTTTATTAACAGCACCCACAGTGGCTCACAACCATGCCTCACAACACACACAGGTGGTACATAGACAGACACAGGCAGAATACCCATACACAAGAAATAAAAATAAATACAAATTTTTGCCATCTAAGGAGCCAGTCTTTTAATGATCAGGACATTCAAAAGCAACCCGGTGTAAGGGCAAATTTAGCAGTCCAGCAAACATGGTCGGGTAGGGAGGAGAAAGGAGTGGAGACTCCAGGCTTTCCTTTCAGGTTGACTCACAGCACCAAGAGACCATCTAGTCAACAAAAACAAACCCTAAGACTGATCTCAGAAGTATACCATAAGACTCAACATTTTTAACTTTCATCAACAAAGTCACAAACACAAAGAAAAATCAGGAAATGTAATATATCCAAAAGCTAGAGATAACAACTTATCCCAGAGGAAATCAAGACTTAAAAATGCTCACAACCGTAAAGGAAGGCATGAACAACCTCTGTTAAGAAATGTATGAATATATATATAAAGAAACCAAAAAGCAGTGTAATAACAGAAATGAACGACTCCCCAGAGGTGCTCCAGAGTGGCTCTGAGTAGACACAGCAAATTTGGAAGTTATTAAGCCTTAAAAAAATTAAAGAATAAAAGGAAACAACTTGAGGAGCCCAGGGAGCCCTGCACTAGCTGGGCATCTCATAACTAGTGATGCAGTACCATGGCCAGGGAGATCACAGCACAGTTTATTTAGGCTCATGGTTCCAGAGGGTGAGTCGGTGATGGCAGAGTGGAGGTGTGGAAGCTGGAATGGGAAGCCAAGGGCTCACACAGTTAGCAGTAGGCACAAGGGGAACAAACTAGGAGTGGAGCCAGGCCTTCCGTTCTCAAAGCCCACCCACAATAAGGCAAGACCGCCTAAGCCTTCCAGACAGCATCACAAATGGGACCCAAGTGTTCAAATGTCCGAGACTATGGGGACATCTCATCCAAACCACCACAGCCACCATGCTGTAAAAATGTTGTCAAACTTAGACATAGAGAAAGAAGGAGCCCAGAAAATGTTAAAATTCCCTCAAGCCACAAGTTCTAATGGGTCTCAATAATAAAAGCCCAGAGTTGGATATAGGGGAAAATGCTGAGAGATCAGAGAGATGAAGGAGCAAAACCACAGCCACCTTACCTTCTCAACTTCCCAGTCAAAAAGACTGAGCGCCTGTCTCCTCCCGCCTTCTCACTTCCTCTCTCCACCCAGTCATATCACTTCCTGTCTGTCTGTACAGACCTCCAGGGCTCTATGGTTAGCTAGTGAATAGCTCTGCCCTCTGCCCTTCAAGCAAGCTTTATTTGTACAAACAAGATATCATCATAGTGTCTCCAAAGAAGAATGTGTGGACCCAAGAAAACAGGACACATTTGGAAAGACATAGATGTATGAGGGCTGACAACACAGAATCTTGAACGTGACTTATTAAAGACATGCAACTCCTAAGATTATCGCTGATTTTTTTTTCAAAGCTTTGGAAGATAGAGGACACATTTATATTACTCAAAATGCAAAAGAAAGACTAGGGAGATGGCTCAGAAGTCAACACCCACGTAGGGCATCTCATAACTTCCTGTAACTCAGTTCAAAAGGGATTTGATGCCTTCTGGCCTCCATAGGTACTTCATGTACATGGTGCATAAACAGACAAGCAGACACATACACATAAATAATTTTTTGAAAATTAATGCAAAAGAAAACTTGTCAACTGAGAGTTCTTTATCAGGCAAAGCTATCTTCCTACAGTAAGGATGAGGTTAAGGTATTTCCAAGATACCTTATATTTACCATAATAAATGGCATTCATTTACTATACTAGCCTTGTAGGAAATGCAAAATGAGGCCAACGAGATGACTCAGCTGTAAAGGCACCTGCTGCAAAGCCCGAGGTCCTAAGTCGATCCCTACACCCAACAAAGAATGCGTTGTCTGCAGAGCTTCCCATATGCACACACACAAATGCAGTCTATTGCTGGTCTTAAGGTGTGTGAGGAAATTATTTGATAAATTCATGTTGTATTGTGATGACTTTGGGATAATAAATGTAATTCCTACAGAAACCAGATAAATTTGCTGCAGAATATACATAAGGGGAAATAAGAGAATCAAATGAGCTACAAAAATATTGGAGGAATAAAAAAGACCATTTTGTGAGGATATAGAATGTGAATCTTTGTTTATATTTAAGGCCAAAGACCAGTCAAACCCAATTCTCCTTCCTCAGCCTGCTAATAGGATTACAGGTATGCATACCATGCCCAGTAAAATGAGTCCTTTTATTTTTGTAAAGATTTATTGTGTTTTATCTGCATGTATGTCTGTGTACCATTTGGAAGTGGTGCCCACAGAAATCAGAAGAGGGCATCAGATCCCCTGGGAGTAGAGTTACAGACAGTTTTTGAACAGTCTTGTAGGTGCTGGGAATTGAACCTAGGTCCTCTGGAAACATGGGCATTGCTCTTGACCACTGAACCATCCGTCTCTCCACCATAAAATGAGTCTTAATAGATTCAGAAAAAATATGTGTAATATTCTCTGACCACAATAAAATGAAGCTAGAAATGAGTAACATAAGGAAAACTGGAAATTTTACAAAAATGTGGCAATGCCCATGGTACTAAACAATTAGAATTGAAGATTGAAAATGAAAATGCAATTGAACAAAACTTAGGAAATACAGTCAGAGCAGTGCTGGGAAAATGTATAGCTATGAGTAAAATGTATAGCTATGAGGAAAATGTATAGCTATGAGGAAAATGTATAGTTTCCTTAGAAAGAAGAAGCCAAGTCTGATGTCTTATGCCTATAACCTCTACTTAGGAGTCTGAGGCAGGAGAATTGCTGTGAATTAAAGGCCAATCTGGGCCTCAAGTCTCAAAAATATTAACACACACATAGTCAGGAGCCTGAAGCAGAGGGATTACAAGTTCAAAGACTGTCTGGGCTATGGATGGAGTTCAAGACCAGCCTGGGAAACTTAATGAGACCATGTCTCAAAAAAT